GCAGAAAGATGGGGATATCAAGTGTGTGCCACAAGGAGATTTAACACTGGGAGAAAATTAATCTGTTATCCAAGTTATGTGTTGTAGGAGGACACTGAAGAACCAATGACAGGTGAACTTGGCAAGGAACCGGGCAAGTGCAACAGTGATGTGAGCTAAGCTGGTGCTGGTGTCAAGAAAACCAACTTCGCCTGCCCTGAGTGACCACTTTGACAGATGAAGCTGAAACCATCAACAGTTTTTATGAGCATTTTGGGAAAAGACCTATAGAATAAAGAGAAGTACAGACATAAAAATGCTTCAATGGACAGAAGACAATGGTGATGAGAACATCTATATACTAAACTGTACCTGATTGTGACACAAATGTTATGGAATAAGGGGTGGAAGTTGTGTTGGGTCTGTCTGAGCTGGAGTCACCTTTTCCCTGCAGCAGCCCGCACAGTGCTGTGCTCTGCACTCGTAGCTGGAACAGCACTGATATCACTCCAGTGTTGTGTCTATTGCTGCGTAGTGCTGGCACAGCATCAGGACTCCTTCCAAGCCCCCAAGAGCCAGCAGGCTGGGGGTGGGCAAGTGATGGGGAGGGGACATTGCCGGGGCAGCTGACCTAACCCAACCAAAGGGATATTCCATAACACCTGATGGCACACTCAGCAATAAAAGGGGGGGCTCTCGTGGGGGAGGGGGCTGTTCCTCCTGAACAACCACTACGCGTTTGAGGCCCTGCTTCCCAGGACGTGGCCGAACACCGCTCGCCGATGGGAAGTAGAGAATAATTTTTCTCTCTCTCTGGGCTTCCGCGCGGACTGGTTGTTTCTTTTGTATCTGTTTTTCCTTCCCATTCCCTTTCCCTTTAATTAAACCTTTCTCATCTCAAACCTCGAGTTCTCTGTGTTGTATTTTCTCCCCCTTCCTTCTGAGGAGAGGGGGAGGGAGAGAGCGGTTGTGGTGGAGCTTGGCTGCCCACCTGAGTAAAACCACCACATCTTCAAGAACCCATTAGTGAGATCTTTAGAAATGGATTGTAGGCAATTTCACAGTGCTCAGGGGTTGGGGCCCTTGCTCAGTGAGGAGGGGCTGAGGCAAAGATGTTTGGTCAGACTGCAGAGGAACCTCAGGGCAGCCTTCTCATAACTACAAGGAGGGCAGCAAGACAAAGCCAAGCTATCTCAGCAGGGCATGGTGCGATGACGACAAACAGCAGGCATGGGGGTACAAATCACCAAAGGGAGATGGCAATTCTTTGGGTGTTATATAAGGGTGTTCTGGTGTCCCACAGACCTTGCTGATGCTGTTTTAAAAGAATTAAAAAAGCGAGGTAGGAATTAAAATTATTTCACTTATTGCGAACACAGAAGAGTGGCTATTAAATTGGGGGAGAAAATACAGCACAAAGAGGCTGGAGATGAGAATGGTTTACTTAAAGGGCAGGGGAATGGGGAGAAAAAGAAACAAAAGAAACAATAAGGCCGCGGGGAAGCACAGAGAGAAGGAAAAAGAAATATTCTCTACTTCCCATCAACGAGCAATGTTCAGCCATGTCCTGGGAAGCAGGGCATCAAAACATGCAGTGGTTGTTCAGGAGGAACAGCCCCCTTCCCCACGGCAACCCCCTGTTTATTGCTGAGTGTGGCGTCAGGTGCTATGGAATGTCCCTTTGGTTGGGTTAGGTCAGCTGCCCTATCGATGTCCCCTACCCATCACCGCCCACCCCCATTGATTTCCTTTGATGAAGTGGCCAACCATCTGGTTGCCCAGGGGAAGCCAGCTGATGGCACCTCTTTGGATTTCAGCACAGCTTCAAGACAGCTTCTCACTGTCTCCTTCTGGACCAATTGGGCAGCACACAGCTAGAGCAATGCATAATGCGATGGGTGAACAAGGGGCTGACGGGTCGCGCTCCAAGGGTTATTGTAAATGGGGTCGCATCAGGGTGGCGGCCAGTCATAGGGGCTTCCGCAGGCCTCCATTTTAGGGCCTGTTCTCTTCGGTGTTGTCCCGACTGACTCGCATGTAGGACTTGAGGGCAGATGGAGTCCATTTATGCATGATGCTAAACAGGAAGGAGTGGCTGACTCCATCGAGGGGAGGAAGGCTTTGCAGAGAGATCTCGACAAAGCAGAGAGCTGGGCAATCCCCAGCAATATGAGGTTTAGCAAGAGCCAGTGAGGGATTCCACGCCTGGCAAGGGGCAACCCTGGCTGTATGGACAGTCGGGGGGATGAGAGGCTGGAGCCCAGCCCTGCAGACAGGGATCTGGGGGTTTTGGTCGATGGCAAGTTGAATGTGATTCAAGCACGGGCCCTGGCAGCCAGGAGGGGCAACAGCATCCTGGGCTGCCTCCAGCACGGCATCGCCAGCCGCTCAGGGGCAGGGATTGCTGTGCTCTGCTCTGCGCTCTTGCAGCATCACCTCAAGTCCTGGGTGCACTTTTGGGCAGCACACTAACAGAAGGACATCAGGTTATGGGAGAGTGTCCAAAGGAGGGCTTCGAAGTGGTGGAGGATCTGGAGAGTAAGACGGATGAGGAGCACATGAGGTGCGCGTGTTTGTTCAGCCTGCATGAGACTGAGGGGAGGCCTCATGGCGGCCGGCAGCTTCCTCACGAGGGCAGCAGAGGGGCCGGCGCTGAGCTCTGCTCTCTGGGGCCACGGACAAAACTCGAGGGAATGGCAAGGAGATGGGCCACTGGAGGCTCTGGCTGCAGGTGAGGAAAAGATTGGACACCACCACGGGGCTTGGCCACTGAAACAGGCCTCCCAGGGAAGTGGTCATGGCAGCCAAGCTGCTGGGGTTCACCAAATGTCTGGCAAGTGCTTTCAGACACATGCTTTGGTTTTTGGGGGTCACCCAGAGCGCTGGGCTCTCAGGTCACCCAGCGGTGGGCTGTGAGGTCACCCAGCAATGGGCTGTGACCTCACGGCCCTCGCTGCTTATCTTGGGGCGCCGTCAGAGCCTGGCCCAGCCTGGCTCGTGCCTGGACTCTGGCTGAGCGTTTGTGCGAGGCTTGGAGTGCCGAGCAAGGATCTCTTGGGAGATTTGTTGGAGCTGTGCTGTGGGGCCGTTGGCAGCTGCTCTCGGTGCCCGTCCCCGCAGCCAGTGCCTGCGTTTCCCCGGCCCTGCCTGGCTCAGGCAGCCGGGGCTGTGCAAGGAGTGCTCGCAGCAGTGCAGGTGAGCTGTGAGGCGACACGTGCCCCGGGGCTGGGCTTGGGGTTTTGTCCTGCTGAGGGGCCGGGGCACTGCCGCTGCCTGCCCTGGCTCAGCCACTGACCCTGGCCTCTCTCCTTCTTGCAGCGCACAGCAGCTGTGGCAGCGGTGCCAGCCAGGGGAAGCAGCTCCCCATCTGCAGCTCTCCCCAGCCCGCTGCAGCGAGCCGACACCATGGGCGGTGAGGCCCAGGACATCACCTGCCCTGTGTGCCAGGGGGCCCCCAAGGAGCCCAGCTACATCCTCCCCTGCCTGCACCAGTTCTGCTTCGGGTGCGTCATGCGCTGGGTCCAGAGAAGCAGCACCTGCCCCCTCTGCAGGCAGCGCATCACCTCCATCCGCTACTCCATCTGGGCGGAAGACGACTTCCTGGAGGTGCAGGTGGCCCCCGATGCAGAAGCGCAAGACGACAGCCCCCAGGACGAGCAGGGGGCTGCAGAGCCCATGCCCCAGCCTGCCGTCAGAGGCCTCCCGCCCGAGGAATGGGCAGCCCTCTTCAGGGAACACCTCGAAGTCCTGGGGCCGCTGCGCTCCTGGGTGCGCCAGCAAGCCAGGGAGCTCTTCGATGCTGCCTGGTGGGACCAGGACATGCTGGAGGCCACCGTCGTCGCTTGGCTGTGCCGCTGTGGGCTGGATGAGCACGCCTTGGTGCGGGAGCTGCGGCCCTTGCTGCAGGGCCACACGGTGAGCATTGTGCAGCGGCTCATCTCCATCATGGGGGAGATATGCAGCGAGGAGTACCTCGAGGAGCTGGGCTTCCTGGAACCGCGTCCTGCCAGCCAGCTCTACATGGACGACGGCCCTGACGTGGACCTCGAGGGCTCCGAAGACACCGGGGAGCCAGAGCTCGAGGGCTCCCAAGACACCTGGGAGCCAGAGCTCGAGGGCTCCCAAGACACCTGGGAGCCAGAAGACAGCCTGGAGGCCACCCCCAGCCCTGCTGCCTCCCCCCGGGACACTCCTGTCACCAGCCTGCTCTCCTCCAGCAGCGCGGAGGATTCTGACATCGAGGAGCTGCCCAGCGCCTCCAGTGCCGCCCTGCCTGCGGGTCCTGGCCAGCCGCCCGCTGCACCCATCCCTGAGGAGCAGGAGGAGCTCTTCTCAGAGCCTGAAGAGGAGGAAGCAGAACACGCTGCAGTGCGGGGCTGCAGCCACGGGCCCTCTCCTCCTGGCCAGGGCAGGGACAGCTCACCTGGGGGGCCCCGGCGCCCCCCGAAGAGGAGGGCCGACAGCAACCCGGACTCTCCCCAGCCCTGCAAGAGGCCCCCGCGCCTTTAGCAGGGCACATCTGGTTGTCATCAAAATAAAGAGTCGTGACCCTGCCACAGACAGTGTCTTGGGCTTCTTGGTCGAATCCCAGAATCCTACAGTCATAGAAATGTCGAGTGGCTCAGGTTGGAAGGGGCCTTAAAGACCACCTAGTTCCACTCCCCCTGCCATGGCCAGGGATGCAACTCACTGGCCTCACCCAACCTGGTGATGGGCAATGTCTGCCCACTCGCTCAGGACCCGCAGATCCATGTCCTCAGGTCCCCTGGACTTGCGCATCACCATGTTCCTTCTTCCCCACCCTCCCCCAGAGCCTGCAGGGCGCGGAGCAGCAGCGCCGACCCTCCCAACATGGCCGCCCTGCCGCGCCTCCCTCCCTCCCTCCCGTTGGGCGCCGCGCGGCGGCCGCCATTGGCCCCGTGCTGCCGGCGGGCGGGCGGGGCGGGCGGTTCAAACGGCAACGGCCGCGCCGGGCGCTGTGGCGGAGCGGTGAGGCGGGGGCCGGGCCGGGCCCGGCGGGGGTGGGGGGGGCCGGGCAGCAGCGCCCAGGCGCTGAGCAGGGGTCCCGGTGGGTCCCGGTGGGTCCCGGTGGGTCCCGGTGGGTCTCGGTGCTGCAAGCGGCCCCTCCGCGCCTCGGGCCGTGCTCTGAGGGCAGCGCAGCCACGGGTGGCGCTTTGTCGTTGCAGGTGCTGGGCAGAAGGGCAGGCGCCTGCTGGCCTCAGGATGTCTGTCAGCAGCGATGAGGAGATTCTGAAGTACTACGAGTTGCGCGAAACGATTGGGACGGGTAGGAGTGATCTCTGAACAAAGACGCCTGCCTGCTGTCTGCCTGAGTACAGAGTGACTTCAGGCCCGTGAATTTTGGAGCACAATTCTGAAGCTAGTTGGCAGCCCATAACTCAAATCGCCTCTTCCTCTGATGAAGGCATTGCACACAATTCGTGCTGCGTACTCTGCTCTACAAGCGGGATTAAAAGGATGAACGCGTGTTATCATGCTGAGCTTTAAATGTCTGTGTGTTCACTTTTAGGTGGGTTTGCGAAGGTAAAGCTTGGACGACATCTTCTTACCGGTGAAAAAGTTGCAATAAAAATCATGGACAAGCTTGCTCTAGGGGTAAGTCAAAAACATGTAACATTTGATAGCATCGTCTGTTTCTTGAGCAGTTCTCAAGAGCAAAGGGGTGCGGTACATAAAGATGCTGCCTACTAGCCCTGCTGCCTTTTAAAGGATGCTGTAGAGTTCAAGGAATGTTAACAAAGCACCGGAAACGTTGTGCCTTCTTGTGAAGTGGGCAGCATTCACTCGCTGTAAAATGGAGGAAGTTGACAATTGTTACAATAACTCAAACAAAATGCTGATGAAAACACTAGATATTTTACGTCTTCAGGTTTTGCTGATCAGAATTATATGGGGGGAATGGAAGAGCTGTAGATGAGTTGATGTTGAATCGTATGCTGTCAGAAACGTGCTGTGAAATTTTGACTTCTGCAGTAGTTTGCAGTTTACTGTTGTAAGTAGTCACCAAATTCATAGCTTATGTTCATGGTCTCTTAGGATGACTTGCCTCGTGTTAAAACAGAAATTGATGCCATGAAGAATTTAAGTCACCAACATATTTGCCGGTTGTATCACGTAATAGAGACATCCAAGAAAATATTCATGGTCTTAGAGGTAAGAAATGGTGTTTCTGCCATGCTTGAGGTTACAGTACACGATCTGTCCGCTTTAGCAGTATGCGATAATATAACAGTAAAGTTGAAATGATGCATTTCTTAAGAGGTTATCTAATTGATGAGTTTGTTCAAGATTCATTACTTTAAACATTAAGCTGAAAATACATATTCTGTCTTCTCGTAAAAGCCACTCTTTGGTGTTCACAAAAAGTGAAATAAGTTTAATTCCTACCTTGCATTTCAATTATTTTAAAATAGCACCAGCAAGGTCTGTGAGACACCAGAACTCCCAAGTGATTGTCGTCTCCTGGGTGATTTGCACCACCCATGGCAAGAGTGTAATGTCTTGGATACAAAATGTGAGGCAAGGGTCAGACTTCTTGGCTTGTGTGGTTTGCTGCAGTGGTGACCCATGCCAAACTTTTGGGTACTGATAAAGCAAAGGGAATATGCAGAGAGTCCTATAGCTGCTGTCCAGTGCTTTCTGTGCTCTCGTTGGTACTTAGACTTCCTGGTTATGCTCTAAACATATTCTCTTTTGCGCTTCACCTTCTTATTGCAGTATTGTCCTGGAGGAGAGCTGTTTGATTACATTATTTCCAAGGACCGTCTTTCAGAAGAAGAAGCTCGTGTATTTTTTCGGCAGATTGTTTCAGCAATTGCTTATGTTCACAGTAAGGGATATGCCCACAGGGACCTCAAACCAGTAAGCCTGAATAGTAGTCACATTTCTGTAAATAACAAATGATCTGATGCCTTCTGGAAATGTATTGTTTCTGCTTGCTACTGTGTGCCTCAGCTGAGCTGGATGTGGCTGACCCTGAGAAGGGATTTTCCTCTGAAATAGAACATAGTACTGAGAGTACTGCATTCAGCTCTGAGGCCTCCAACACAAGGACATGGAAGTATTAGAACAAGTCCAGAGGAGGCCACAGAGATGATGAAGGGCTGGAGCACCTCTCCTATGAAGTCAGGCTGAGGGAGTTGGGGTTGTTCAGCCTGGCGAAGAGAAGGCTCCAGGGAGACCTTATAACAACTTTCCAATACCTAAAGGGGGCCAAAGGAAGGCTGGGGAGGGACTCTTCGTTGCGGATGTAGGGATAGGACAAGGAGTAGTGGTTTTAAACTGAGAGCGTAGATTTAGATTAGCTATAAGGAAGAAATTCTTTACTCTGAGGAGTGTGACACACTGGAAGAGGTTGCCAAGAGAAGCTGTGGATTAAGACCAGGCGGGATAGGGCTTTGGGCAGCCTGGTCTAGCAGGAGGTGTCCCTGCCTGTGGCAGGGGGAGTGGAATAAGAGGATCTTTAAGGTCCCTTCCAACGCAAACCGTTCTGTGATTCTCTGCTCATGCTCTAAGTGGGAGCAGAGCAGAGACATGGAACTAATATGGATGTTGGTTAGGTGTTTCTGTTACACTCTTTGTTCCAGTATGCACCTGGAGAGAGCCTTGATGGTGTCAATCTGTTGTGCACACTTATGGTTTTGTACCTCAAGGAACAGAGTCAGATAGCTTAAATGAAGGATACGTATAGAGAGGGTGCAGAATAAGATGCACGCTACTGGCCCCATCCTATAGCTTCTCTGTCTTTGCAGATTAAGCATTGTTTTAGTGGTTGGAAGATTTGAGTGTTTCTCCACAAATTGGTTAGAACTTTACATTTTTTAGAGATGCCGATATCTCTGAGAAAAGCAAACCCTTGGAGCTCAGGCAATTTCCCAGACAGCTGATGAGATCTTTCTCTCCAAAGAGCTTTTCTCCAAAAAAAAGAAAGCTCTGTTTGTGCCTTTTGCAAGGAATTGGCTTCTAGACAATGAGCTGGTGAATATGGAGGAGGATACGATAACTTGGCTTGGAAGCAACTGCAGCAGTTTCTGCTTGAACCTGCTGCTCAAAGCAGAGTCAGACGCAGTGTCTGAGGGCTTTATCCCGTGCCATCTCCAAGCCCTAGTACAAGAAAAGGTGGTTCCTCGGATGCTCAGCTGAAAAGCATTACTTGCTGCTTTCTCTTTCACCAGGAAAATCTGCTGATTGACGAGGAACATAATCTGAAGCTGATAGACTTTGGGCTCTGTGCAAAGCCAAAGGTAAGAGTGTCTGCTCGATCCAATACTATGTGCAGACAAGAAACGCATGTTTGACCACAGAATGCAATGCAGTGACTTGCCCAAACACCCTAAAGTAAAGCCATTGATGTGGTTGGGATGCAATTACTGCTTCCTTGGAAGGGACTGAACTGCGCAAGAGAACAGTTAACAGCTGTGGCTCTGAGCAGCCTGTTAAATCGTTTTCTCCATGTAGACTTGATATTTTTGTAATCTAAGGCAGAGATCATCTGGTATGTACAGCACCTTCTGTCTCATACAAGGGCCCGTAATATCAGGTTGGCATGCACTTTTCCTTCATGCGTTTTTCACCTGTGTATGTCTTTCTTCAAAAGAGTTTTGTGGAGATGGATATTGTGGATAGAACCAACAAGTTTATACAGGTGACAGATGCAGATCCTCTGTTTCTGTGTGTTTGTCCTGAATTGTTTCTTGATCCTAGAAAGAGTTTTGGGGAGCCTTTTCTGTTTGCCTTTTTAACATGCAAGGTGGGTGCTGGTGAGGATCAATGTAACAAGGAGACAGTTTTAGGGATTTCAAGGGAGTTATTCACCCTCAGATTGTTTTGTTTGACTCAATAGAGCAAGTTAGAGCATCATGCTGGTAATCAGGACCAACAGAGCATCAGTTCAGTGGAATAACATCATCTTATTGTGATCTGTGTAGAAGACAGTGCATGTGAAATAAGAACACGGTTTTGATAAGGAAGTGTTTTATCAGTGGGTCTTTGAAAAGTTATTGCATTAAATATTGTCATAAATAACCATCTAGCCTCATGCTCAGTAGCTCTTAGATCACTTCGTCACAGGTTTGTATCTCTTACCTGCACGTTTGCACAAGGAATTCATCTTAATAGATGAGGAGCTAAGGAAAAGAATGCATCTTGCCAAGGAACATAGATAAAGGAGCAGTTTGGGATCAGAACATGTTTGTGGTTTTAGATGTTTATGGTCTTAGACTATTTGCTTAGTAAATTCATAAGTTACAACAAAGCAAAATAAAAGGTGAACATAGATGCATTGCAGAAAAAGAGGGAGCCTCTGAGGCTTCTACTGTGTCATTACTAGATGACATAAAGCGTGTTAGAGCCACGGCTTCAGTGTGATTATTCCGATTTCTGTGTTATTCTAGGGAGGCCTTGATTACCATCTGAACACCTGCTGTGGAAGCCCAGCGTATGCAGCGCCGGAGCTGATTCAGGGCAAAGCATATATTGGATCAGAGGTATGTAGCAGAGTTGTAGTGAGTGATTTTTTTTTAATTTTTTTTTTCTCCTCTGGTGCCCTGTTTGTAAAGGCAGTGAAGTTGGGGTATGCTCACTTGGTTTCCCTCCTGAATGCCCCTGGACAGCATTACTTTGGTACTTCCCACAGCTGCCTCAACTAGCCTTAGCAGTCGCAGACTCAAACAGTACTGTTGGCCACAGGTCAGGTAGCTGGCTGGTTTATCTCTGGTTAATCCTTACCTACCTCCACCAGTTGCTCCATCTTTTAGTGCCCTACAAAACAGTAACGTTCTTCTACTACAAAATCTTTGAAAGAGCAATGTCCTCTGTCAATTACTCCTCACTTGTCACAAATCTTTGTGCAATCTCAAAGTTTTAATGATTCGTCAGGCTTTTCTTTAGCTTGCAAGTTGTGCATGAAGACTTGGTCCCTTTTTGTTGCACAGTGTTATAAAAAACAGAGCGCAGAAAATGTGAAGAGGTTTCTCAGCTTTGATTTCATACCTGAAACTCTGGGCCTACTTGCAATTTGCATTTGTTAATCTATCCAAAATGCTGTAATGCGAATCCCTTCAAGCTTCTTAAGTTGCTTTGCTATTAGGATGGAGTCAGTCTTTTGTTTGCTCTCACAGCTTTGCACTGCTGTTGTTGGCCTCTGATTCTTTTTTTTTTTTTTTTTTTTTTAAACAAGATGAGCCTACTCTTCATGAAGTGTGTGGGGACTTTGCCAAGGGCGGACAATATGGTCTGTCATGAAGCCCTTTTGGATACATCTGCTTTGTGAACATCTACGCACTTTTATTTTTTAGGCAGATATTTGGAGCATGGGTGTACTGCTGTATGCTCTGCTGTGTGGCTTTCTCCCTTTTGATGATGACAACGTCATGGCAGTCTACAGGAGGATAATGGTAGGTACTGGTTGTGCTAGGAGGGACATGGCTGAGTGTTGCAAGAGGTTTGCTTTTCTGGTGACAGAACCTGCTAGGCTTTGCCTAAGGCAAAAAGGACTTTGTGCTGAATTTTGTCCCTTTCTGCTGCTCTTCCTAGCATTTTGTGCATTTCTTCCATTGGCCTTCCCGGTACACTAGCCTGGTGCAACTGGTGGATGATAGCAAGTGGAGTTTCAGAAGAAGAATTTTCTTGTCAATGGGCCGGATTTTTGGGGGGGGATCCTTCATCTGCCTTCTCCATATGCTGTGACAGAACCGTACATCTGCCATTGGATTTTCCAAGACTGACTGTTCTTGAATACCAGCTATTCTCCTCTCTGGGAAAGGCAGGATTCTGCTACCGCTATTGAGATTTCCTCCTCCAGAATGAGCATGCAAAGAGCTTTCTTCCATTCGATGCTTTTCCTGAAGGGGGCTGAAACCTAGGTGCAGCATTGTAGATGTCATCCAACAAGAGCTGAGCAGAGGGCTCAGCCCCCTGGTGTGTTGGTGCTGCTTCCTAATTCAGCCCACGGTAGTGTTGGGCATCTTTTCTGCCAGAAGACACCCCTGGCTTACATTCAGTGTGCTGTCTGTCAGCACTTCTCTGTCCAGAATGAGGAGGAAATGCAAGACCCCATAAGTTGCCTCCAAGAGAAAAGGCTGAATAGGTAGTAAGTAACAGCACTGAGTCGTTGGTTCTGTTTCCCTGTAAATTCCTCCCAGTACAGCTGAACAGCTGCTGTTTGGCATCCTGTAGACACCTCCACAAACCACTTGCAGGCTGCCAGCAAATTTCTGTTCACAAAGCCTCCAGGAAGCCAGCGGAGTGTGGAACAGCTGTGTTGGCTGAGGTCTTTGGCTTCCTCTACCTGCTTCTCCTTCCCTGACCAAGAGATTGGTATGACTGGAAAGTAGAGCATCCTGAAGAGGATTCAAGGACTGTGGTGGTAGGAGGGGACAGGAGATCTTCTGGAGTCTTCAAGGATGGTTTCTGCAGAGTTGAGGCCTCACTTCACGAGAACCAGGAGCTGCATTCTTTGGAGAGGTGAAACATTGGCCAGTGGAACTTGTTGAGGTGAACAGAGATGAGCAAGTTTTAAAACTCAGTCTGAGTGCAGTGGAAGAGGGAAGTCTCACAGGTGTTAAGATGCAGGCTTGCTATTTCTGCAATTACCTTAAAGGAGGCTCTAGCGAGATGGGGACGGGTGTCCCCAAGCACCGAGTGATAAGACAAGAGGAAATGGCCTCAAGTTGCTCTGGAGGAGGTTTGGCTTGGCTATTAGGAAAAATTTCCTTACTGAGAGTTGAGAGGTATTGGAACAGGCAGCCCAGGGAAGTGGTTGAGTCACCACTCAGGAGGCATTCAAAAACCATGTAGATGAGGTGCTTGGTGACATGGTTTAATGGTGGGCTTGGCAGTGTGAGGTTAAAGGATGGACCAGCTGATCTTAGACGTCTTTCCCAACCCACATGGTCCTGTGGTTGGAAGTAGGATCACAGTGCTTGCACACCTTGTTTCTTTCCCTGGAGTGTTCCACATCTCTTCATTTGGGAATACTTAAGTCAACCAAGTATGTGCTACAGCTCCTGCAAGAAGAAAATACTTGTGGAGTGATCTTATGGTTCTGGTAGCTCTTGCGAGGTATTTGCCTTCCAGCACTGTCCTCAGTCAAGGAGACGCTACTTGTTTTACCTTGTCTCCTGATCTGTAGTGATGTATTAAAAGCAAAATGGGTAATGGGGCTCCTTGGACCCACATGCAGATCATGTGGATTTGATGCCTTACTTTCCCAGTAAAGCTGCACTGTGAAATCTGAAATCTGCCCCCCATCTGTTTCTAATGATATCACTAACCATGTTTGTGAGGATGGAACAGGAGGTGTGGTGAGAGCATCTGCAGGAGTAGCGTGCTCCCGATGGATGGACCGCATGGTGCAGACCCATATTGGAGCAGTTCCTGAAGAGCTGCTGCCTGTGGGCAGCCCCCGCAGGCTCAGTTTGGGAAGTACGGCATCCCCTGCAAGGGACCCCGTGGGGAGCAGGGACAGAGAGGGAGGTGTAGGGAGCAGCAGGGACAAAGCATTATGGACTGCCCTGTTCCCTTGCATTGCTCAGAGGGAGGAGGTTTTAGTTCTCACTGCTCGAGTTTATTACCATTTGTCAATACATTACATTGATCTTCATTACGCCGAGTCTGTTTTCCTTCTAACGGTATGTGGTGAGTGATCTCCCTGTCCTTATCTCAACTCTCAAACATTTTTTGCATGTGGCTGTTCTTCCTTTTTGGCAGAAGAGAGATGTCACTATCACCTAAGTAATTTAATAATCCTGTTTGACCTAACTATTCAAGGTTCATTCTACACCCTCTTTGGTTTATTTTTTTTTCCACAGAGAGGAAAATATACTATTCCAAAGTGGCTCTCTCCTAGCAGTACGCTGCTGCTTAGCCAAATGCTACAGGTAAAGGTGCTGCTTCTACTCAGATAGGTCTACAAAATGCTATTTCATTAGGTCGGAATACTACATCTATGAAGTACTTAGAAAATATGTGGTGTTTGAAGATTAACTCTTATACGTCTGAATCCTTGAAGGAAAGCTTAGCCTTGTCTTCTGCAGAAATTTCTCATGCAAGAATGTAATAATAGTTCATGGATATAGAAATTAAAATGTAAATAATTAAATGAAGTCTTGAAGCACCTTGCATTTGGGTGTTCTATTGATACAGCACAATTAAGAAGTGTTTATAAATGAGACGTTTTATTAATGAAGCTGAGCATATGAAATATGCCTTCGGGCTACATCTAGGCAGTCTAGTCACTGCAGAATGTTACTGGAACATGTACTGTAACCATAGGTGCTGTAACTGTTATTCACAGCTCAGACATTTAACCTTCCTTTTGCTGGGGTTCTGAAACATTGTTGGTTTCTATTCTATCCCTTCTAAGCACCCAGAAGGTCTGAATAAAAGATAAGTTTTTTCTTCTATTCTCACAGATTTGTGTAACAACTTGATTCTTCCTGCCCACTAGGTGGACCCAAAGAAGCGGATTACAGTTAAGCATCTGTTAAGTCACCCGTGGCTCATGGAAGGTTATTGAGATGCTGTCCACTGGCAAAGTAAATATCCAGTAAGTACACTTGCCAAGAAGGTTCCTTGGCATTTCGTGTAATCTTATTTGCTGTCACAACGGTACCGGTTCTTTGCCATTTCTTTTGAGGAGGCATTTCAAGGTACGTTGTCATTGTATTCTGTCGTTGATGCTTAATTAGCAAAACAGCTAGCTTCTCATCAAAATGTGCAGAACTTCTGTATGTGAGCAACCAGTTGATTCTCCAGGCTGCTTGGTCAATACTTTTGTTTAGGGGGTAAAAAACAAGTATTATTATTTTTCTTGGACATGCTTATGGTTTATCTTAATTCTAGTTCTCACTGAGAATTGCTCGTTTGGCCAACAAGCTGACCTCTTTGACAGCATGTTTGTCCTCTCTGTACTTCAACTCTTTTGATGTGTGTGAGTTGAGGATAGTGTGGGGGCTTGGGGGAAATTCCAGCTGTCACCAAGTGCTGATGAGCAGCTGATGCTCATTTGCAGCCAATGCCTCCTGCTGGCCACTGGGTGCTGCTGTTTGTCTAGGTAAAGAACAGCTTGTTGCACGTGCGCTGTCAATTTTAAGCAGCTCTGGCAAAGACGTGCATGCCTGATGCAGCTTTGCATATTTAAGAAGAGATGAAAGTGTAGCTTCCACTCAAGTGAAAAATCTTATCTGCAGACAGCCTTTCCTACGTGAGTTCAGATCCTCTCACCAAGGAGGGCCGAGACGCTGAAGTTGCTGAAGTTGTGTGACTTTCTCCGTTTACTCACGGCAACATTTAGCCATGATGCTAACTAAAATACAAAATCTGAAATGTTGGATAATGAGGGACTCCGCCTGCTGCATATCACAGCAGTGTCATGGTCAGATGTGTCTCGATGAGACAACCTGAAAGCTTCATGCTTGAATGTAGTCCGTGTTCTTGCAGCAGGGACACCTTGACGAGGACTGCGTGACAGAGCTTTCCATGTTTCACACCCAGAGCAGGGAGAGTATATAGGAATTAATATCAGAGGTAAGAACTACATGTTGTTAATTTGTTGTAATTAAGCATGCTAATACAGTAAGTAACCTTAGCGTATTGGCAGCCTCATGGTGCCTTATTCTCAGGCGTGAGTTTTGCTGTGCTTTTCCAACCTACGGAATCCCCACAGAATTTCAGACCTGTCAGTACAGCTCTGAAGCTCAATTTTGCCTTTTCTTTTTCCTCCTTTCATTGTGTTTCCCAAACTTTATTGATATTTTCTGCCACGTTAATATCCTTATGAATTTCTGAAAGGCAAAATAGACTCAACCTAAAGATGTCTGGATGAACAACCAATTTCTTGCACTGGCTGAACTCCGTGCTTTGAAATGTTCTGATACCGGAGAGAAAAATTCCAGTGCATCGCTCAGCCAGGCTATAAAATAAGTGTGGGGGAATTGCTTTTCACAAACTTTGGAAGAAGTGAATCAGTTCCTGTCCCATTGGAATATAAATGACAAAAGCTGAGCTGACTACCTGTAGAGGAATTGTACCAATGTGTTAGTGGTGATATTCTAACCTGGTAGAAGAGACTTACAACATGAGGTGGACTCCGGCCTTAATGTGAATCTGAAAATTGTGCTTTGAAATTTATTTTTTTTATTCTACTGTATAGAATGAAGACTTGGGATAAAATCTTTCACATAACTGTAGCAGAAACAGACTTTTAAAATATGTGTTCTATTTAAAGTGGATAAATTTTGGAGTAAATATTGTTGGTTGTTTTTTTGTTTGTTTGTTTTTTTGTTTGTTTGTTTGTTTTTTCAGTTACAGGAAATACAGGAAATAGCCTGAATAATCTACTTACAGGAGGAAACAGCTTGTCCAGTTAAGTTTTGGCATTTACACCGTCCTTTACTAGGGGACTTCTATTGCCTTATAACTTATTCAGGCTACTGGTATTATGCTGCAAACCTGGCAAGCATTTTTCTTGCAGTCCTCATAGCAGTTGTGTTGCTGAAAATCACACCAAATGTTGATTAAAAAAATTTTTCTTGTTGTACTCCCAATCAACTTGCTAGCAGGCAGCCTAGGAAGAGGAAAGAACTTCTCCAGTATGACCACTTACAAATATTAAGGACATGGTGGCTTACAGTAGACTACAGAAAGTTGAATGCAGCTACTAAACCATTGACTGCCACAGCACCCAGTCTGTCTGACATACCTAATCTGCTTAATACAGCAGGATTTAAATGATGGCTGTCGTTGGTGTTAGAGACATCTTTTGGTCACATTACCACGGCAGGAACAAGACAAATTTGCTTTTACTTTGGAAGTAATACAGCATTTTTTGCTCATTTACCCCAGGGGGTTAAGCACAGACTTGCACCAACACATGCTGAATTGGCTAAGACATTAGAAGAAGTAAGGTCACCTGCTGGAATCACATCAATTCAATATGTAGATATTGAGTGGGGACGGTGATGAGCAGCAAGTACAAGAAGGAATGGGCTTCCTCATAGACAGACATATGCCAGCAGTACTCATATCTGTTAGCCACTCTGACAACTGTTTGCAATTGCTGGCAGTTGTACTGATTATTGTGCTAAGAAGCTACCCATGAATGGCCAGGGGTATATTCTGAACATAGAGTCCCTACTAATATCAAGAAAATTCTCAATTTCACCTTTCCAACCAAATGGCACAAGCATAACACTAGTACTATAGAAAGTACAAATGAGAATTTTGAGTACAATGAGACCTGGACAGGCTGGAGAGCTGGGCAGGAAGAAACCAAATGAGGTTGTTAGAAATGGCTCAGTCTTCAAAATAGGATTAAATAAAAAAATAGGGTTTATTAAAAGAATAGAGGTAAGCAAACAGCGCTGGGTGCACCGGGAGTCTCCGCTCCACCAGGACGCACACCAGTTACATCAAGTAGCAGATTTTTATGCTCCTAGACTAATACATATTCATTGCTACTTCTAAAAAATAGGTTATTATAATTAGCATTATTTATTAATTAATTAATTACCTTAATAATTATAAAAACCTGTTAAAAATAGGTTATTAATAATTATAATTGGGTCCTGTGGGTCCTGAGCGAGTGGGCAGACATTGCCCATCACCAGGTTGGGTGAGGCCAGTGAGTTGCATCCCTGGCCATGGCAGGGGGAGTGGAACTAGGTGGTCTTTAAGGCCCCTTCCAACCTGAGCCACTCGACATTTCTGTGACTGTAGGATTCTGGGATTCGACGAAGAAGCCCAAGACACTGTCTGTGGCAGGGTCACGACTCTTTATTTTGATGACAACCAGATGTGCCCTGCTAAAGGCGCGGGGGCCTCTTGCAGGGCTGGGGAGAGTCCGGGTTGCTGTCGGCCCTCCTCTTCGGGGGGCGCCGGGGCCCCCCAGGTGAGCTGTCCCTGCCCTGGCCAGGAGGAGAGGGCCCGTGGCTGCAGCCCGGCACTGCAGCGTGTTCTGCTTCCTCCTCTTCAGGCTCTGAGAAGAGCTCCTCCTGCTCCTCAGGGATGGGTGCAGCGGGCGGCTGGCCAGGACCCGCAGGCAGGGCGGCACTGGAGGCGCTGGGCAGCTCCTCGATGTCAGAATCCTCCGCGCTGCTGGAGGAGAGCAGGCTGGTGACAGGAGTGTCCCGGGGGGAGGCATGAGGGCTGGGGGTGGCCTCCAGGCTGTCTTCTGGCTCCCAGGTGTCTTGGGAGCCCTCGAGCTCTGGCTCCCCGGTGTCTTGGGAGCCCTCGAGGTCCACGTCAGGGCCGTTGTCCATGTAGAGCTGGCTGGCAGGACGCGGTTCCAGGAAGCCCAGCTCCTCGAGGTACTCCTCGCTGCATATCTCCCCCATGATGGAGATGAGCCGCTGCACAATGCTCACCGTGTGGCCCTGCAGCAAGGGCCGCAGCTCCCGCACCAAGGCGTGCTCATCCAGCCCACAGCGGCACAGCCAAGCGACGACGGTGGCCTCCAGCATGTCCTGGTCCCACCAGGCAGCATCGAAGAGCTCCCTGGCTTGCTGGCGCACCCAGGAGCGCAGCGGCCCCAGGACTTCGAGGTGTTCCCTGAAGAGGGCTGCCCATTCCTCGGGCGGGAGGCCTCTGACGGCAGGCTGGGGCATGGGCTCTGCAGCCCCCTGCTCGTCCTGGGGGCTGTCGTCTTGCGCCTCTGCATCGGGGGCCACCTGCACCTCCAGGAAGTCGTCTTCCGCCCAGATGGAGTAGCGGATGGAGGTGATGCGCTGCCTGCAGAGGGGGCAGGTGCTGCTTCTCTGGACCCAGCGCATGACGCACCCGAAGCAGAACTGGTGCAGGCAGGGGAGGATGTAGCTGGGCTCCTTGGGGGCCCCCTGGCACACAGGGCAGGTGATGTCCTGGGCCTCACCGCCCATGGTGTCGGCTCGCTGCAGCGGGCTGGGGAGAGCTGCAGATGGGGAGCTGCTTCCCCTGGCTGGCACCGCTGCCACAGCTGCTGTGCGCTGCAAGAAGGAGAGAGGCCAGGGTCAGTGGCTGAGCCAGGGCAGGCAGCGGCAGTGCCCCGGCCCCTCAGCAGGACAAAACCCCAAGCCCAGCCCCGGGGCACGTGTCGCCTCACAGCTCACCTGCACTGCTGCGAGCACTCCTTGCACAGCCCCGGCTGCCTGAGCCAGGCAGGGCCGGGGAAACGCAGGCACTGGCTGCGGGGACGGGCACCGAGAGCAGCTGCCAACGGCCCCACAGCACAGCTCCAACAAATCTCCCAAGAGATCCTTGCTCGGCACTCCAAGCCTCGCACAAACGCTCAGCCAGAGTCCAGGCACGAGCCAGGCTGGGCCAGGCTCTGCCGGCGCCCCAAGATAAGCAGCGAGGGCCGTGAGGTCACAGCCCATTGCTGGGTGACCTCACAGCCCACCGCTGGGTGACCTGAGAGCCCAGCGCTCTGGGTGACCCCCAAAAACCAAAGCATGTGTCTGAAAGCACTTGCCAGACATTTGGTGAACCCCAGCAGCTTGGCTGCCATGACCACTTCCCTGGGAGGCCTGTTTCAGTGGCCAAGCCCCGTGGTGGTGTCCAATCTTTTCCTCACCTGCAGCCAGAGCCTCCAGTGGCCCATCTCCTTGCCATTCCCTCGAGTTTTGTCAGTGGCCCCAGAGAGCAGAGCTCAGCGCCGGCCCCTCTGCTGCCCTCGTGAGGAAGCTGCCGGCCGCCATGAGGCCTCCCCTCAGTCTCATGCAGGCTGAACAAACACGCGCACCTCATGTGCTCCTCATCCGTCTTACTCTCCAGATCCTCCACCACTTCGAAGCCCTCCTTTGGACACTCTCCCATAACCTGATGTCCTTGTGTTAGTGTGCTGCCCAAAAGTGCACCCAGGACTTGAGGTGATGCTGCAAGAGTGCAGAGCAGAGCACAGCAATCCCTGCCCCTGAGCGGCTGGCGATGCCGTGCTGGAGGCACCCCAGGATGCTGTTGCCCCTCCTGGCTGCCAGGGCCCGTGCTTGAATCACATTCAACTTGCCATCGACCAAAACCCCCAGATCCCTGTCTGCAGGGCTGGGCTCCAGCCTCTCGTCCCCCCGACTGTCCATACAGCCAGGGTTGCCCCAAAAAAAACCAACCAAAAAAAAACAACCAAAAAAAAATAAACAACCAAAGGGACATTCCATCGCACCTGATGCGCTGGGTGCACCGGGAGTCTCCGCTCCACCAGGACGCACACCAGTTACATCAAGTAGCTGATTTTTATGCTCCTAGACTAGTACATATTCATTACTACTTCTAAAAAAATAGGTTATTATGATTAGTATTAATTATTAAATGTGTTAATTAATTATATTATTAATTATAATAACCTATTAAAAATAGGTTATTAATAATTATAATTCCGGGGTCCAGTCCCTCCTGCTGGAGCATGCACATCAGTCTCCGGTGGTCCCTCTGGGGGCCTCTAGGGGTCTTTCATGCTGAAGACTCGTAGTGTTCCTCTCCAAGTTTTTTTCTTGTCCTTCCCCTTTGTACTCCTTGGCACCGTGTCAAGTTTATACAGCATCCCCTGCAGGTCTTGTCTCCTAGCCGTCCTTCAGCTTCTTCTTTTTTCTTCTTAATCTCTTGGCCACCTGGCCAGATATCAGAGGCCTGCATAGTATCCCATAACAGTCACTAATTGTTATCAGTTGTTCTGAAACCCCCAGACATGAAAGACTTCATACAAACATAAATAGCTTTCTTATTGACACTTCACGAGTAATTAAAACATTCCTCACCAGCCATTCATGGGGAGAGTCACACCTATAGCAGCATTAAGTTAATCTCGAAGAAGACAAAAAAAAGGCTGTAACTGTTAGACATAGAAGTCCAGAATAACAAAGACAAACAGGTTCATAAATTTGAGGAGTATTTTCTGAAGACATGATAAATTGACTAGAATGAGGGGGAGACTGGGACACACTGCATCTGTAGTTCAAGAATTAAATTGCCAGTGCAGGACCCAGAGGCAGACAGGAATGTTCTTTATTGACACAAATTGTTAAAACATTCCTAACAGGGTTTAACAAGAGCAAGTGTAGAGTCCTGCACCTGGGAAGGAACAACCACATGTATCAGTACAGGCTGGGGGATGACCTGCTGGAGAGGAGCTCTGAGGAGAAGGACCTGGGAGTCCTAGTGGACAACAGGTTGACCATGAGCCAGCACTGTGCCCTCATGGCCAAGAGGGCCAATGCAATCCTGGGGTGCATTAAAAGGAGAGTGGCCAGCAGGTCAGGGGAGGTGATCCTCCCCCTCTACTGTG